CGGAACTTAATCTGACTCGACTTGAGTTTGCCTGCTTGTAGAGGTCGGACGGCGACGGGGGACGCTCTGGAGAGGGAGTAGGCAAAGCCTCCTCGTGCTCAAAGTCGGTCGCAAAAGATGGTAGGATCATGCCCGCATCGCTGAGGGTTGGCGAGCGCTGTCCATGGGGCGCAGGACGGGAAGCTGCAGCGACAGCCATGGTTACCTGCAGTTGTCCAGTTGGGTCGGCTACCTTAGCTTGGCTGCAGTACTGAGCATGTTCGGGGCCTGAGGTTTGGCGACGCGATCACACTGTGTGATAGTGATACGACTGAGTCGGGAGCGGTGTTAAGGCAAGTAAATCAGGACTCGAGAAGTGAAAGACCGCGGGCGCGTGTCTCTGATTTTCATAATTTCAGCGTGATTAGGGCTTTAGACAGACGGCAGCATGGACCAGCCGGCAACTGGAGGCGTCTTTAGGGGCACAGGCTAAGGGCCGATTGTTGGTGATCCCCGGCAAATTGGCAGCGCGGCCACGGGGGCGCTGCAAGCTGATTTGCTGACTCTCATATCCGGCGTCGGCCTAAGTCGTCTACTGCAAGGGACGCCGGCTCTATATGCGCTATAACGGCGATCCCTGGTTCCTCATCGTACGGGTACCTGTCGCCTCACATACGATCACACGTTGGCATCGCGTTTCGGGGAATTACATCTTGCCGAAAGAAACACTGTAGAACGATTCACGGACACGATGATGCACACGCAAAAGAATTCTTCTTTCGATCCATCGTTGCCTGGACCAGACATTATGCCCACACGCGTGCGTTGACCAGAGGCTTGTCCGCTTCAAGTAAGCATAGCTTGGACTTTATGGCGACACGGGAGCCTGAGCTAGGAGCACACACGGGGGCACACATCCGATTGCTATGCTATGCTGTCTCTTACTAATCACCAGGGGAATCATGAACCGTGTAACTACACTATGGTCTCGTACGCCTATGCAAATCCCAAGATGCTATGCACGCTGCCCAATACTCCGTTACATGCAAATCTATCGTACGTTCGCTAACGCAGGCACTAAAAGTATATAAGAAATTGTACGTCATCCCATCAGAAGCCATCATCGTCGTCGTTCCATCCCAGGGCATCGTATATCGACGGCTCAACGGTATCATTGTCCACTGCAGCGAGTGCTGCGGGGGCGACTTCAGTTACTGGGGCAAACAAAGGTTTGGTAGGTGTAGCAAAAAGCGTAGGAAGTGCAAAGTCGGTGTCGTCATGAGGTGAACTACCTCGAGTTTTGACAGGTGTCTCAAACACGTGCGACTGCCCAAGATCTCTGCTGCCCAAAGAAGGTGCCGCCGCCTTCAATGGAGTTGCGAAGATCTTCCTCCGGACTGAATCCGTAGAGAAGGGTTGGCTATTTGGTGCCTTGGACGGTGTCTCGGCAATGCCCGACTGCGCTAGATTTCGAGCCGTCGTGTGGCGGTGGCCCGTTGCCGGCACCATCGCAGCTGGTGGACGCACTCCTGAAGACGGCACGCAGAATCCGCTGGAAGAAGGCGCTTCCGCCCCGGGAGGCCTAACGAACGGGTCGTAGTGGTGGTGGGTCGGCGTCTGCTCAACCATATTCTTCGTTCTCTTGTTGACTCGGGGCGTTGCAGACACCTGGACTTCTTTTATGGTCTTCCTCACAGTAACTGTTGGCTTCCTCGACTTGTTGGGCAAGCCCAGCCCGCGTTGCTCGAGGTCGGCAACGTAGCCACCAGCAGCTAGTCCACGGTTGGGCTTCTTCAGCGCTAGTATAGCCTCCTGGAGATCTTCCTCGACTCGCTGCTTGTGCTTAATCTTAGCTGATGCAGCAGCCGACGGCTGGGCGAGATCGATTTGGCGGCCCTGCAAATGTCGGATCTGAGACATGGATTGCCGGGCGCTCTTAGACGGGCTCCGTCGAAAAGGTATGGCGGAAAGTGGGACCTCGCTACCCTCTCGTTTGATGCCGTCTAGAAGTGCCGAATCGGTGGCAGATCGGCTCAGCGAAGGTGTTGTTCGTTCAACAGTCCGTCCGGTATTGTCTGTCGCAACACGAGCTAACGAGCGTCGTGACTTCTTCACCTCGGGTTCTTTCAAACTCCCGGATTTACGAGAGCTGAGTGGCGGTCTCGCTGCCTTTCGTTTGGTTGGCAAGCTATGTGTGGGTCCACCAAGCTTCTTGTTGACCATGAGCGCCTGCTCAGGTAGTCGATTGATGTAGAAGGGGATTATGACTTCGACGCAGAAACTGTGTAAGCGATCACTGGAACCGTTTCTTCCGGATCCGTCGGAAGCATCCTGCCTTGATGGCTTTGTATCAAAGTCTAGTATGCCCATCTCTTCTGTAGCATGCCAAATGCAGAGTTTGTCAAGCAGCAAATCGAGCTGCAAGTTAATGTCGTCGAGTTTCTTCTTGCGCTTCTTCGGCTCGCTTTGAGTCTGAGTTCCGTCCGCAATAGAGTGTTGGTCTGGAAGTGGCTTGTGTGTGGAGAGTGCTTCTAGTGCGATAATTTCGAGCATGAGAATCAGCTGAGCAAGCGTCTCGCGGACCCGTAGATCTCCAATACGCCTCCTGATGCGCTGATCTGGGGTCTCCGTAGCCATGCTGTCGCCGCTTGGTAATTCTGACTGCCACCATTTCTTGACCAATGCCTCTTCTTGTGGATATATGCCCTCTCGACTGAGCTTCAGCTTTTTCTTTGACTTCTTGGGCTTGCTAGCAACTGCAGCGTGCTCGTCGTCTGAGTAGCTTCCGGGTGGTATCTCCTTGATCAACGATGGCAGTTTCTCGTGATATTTCTTTTCGCTGGCCTTGGGACTTAGCAACATGGTCTTCAAAAATGTAACGAGTTCATGTGTTGCCGGAGCTCCTTCTTCCGCTGACGTGAATGTGTTCCGTATCCGAGTGATTGGACCCTTCACCAGGTATGCAAGCGAGGTCTTGGACATGTAAACTGCGTCCAAGTAATGTTGAACCAATAGGTCAAGTTGCTCTTGTGGAGACGGTGCGTCGGGCATAAGCTCTAGAGGGTGTTCGGTAGGAACCATGTCCAAATGCTCGATCCCCGAAGCTTCAATAGTCATTTCAGGCTGTTGAACTTGTTCGATCGTCGTCTCTTGTCGTGATTTCGGTCGTATCATTGTCATCCGCGCTCGTTTCGCTGGTAATTCTACAGCGTGCGTCTCCACCGCGGCTTGGTGCCACCATTTCCCTTGCCCAGCCGTATCCGCCTCCGTCTTCGGGCGAGCTGGCAGCACTTTGAGATTCGTAGGATTCCATAAGTCTGTAACGTCTTTCTCCTTGAGCCAGCTGGCAAGCCTACATATACTATAGACGCGGGGTTGTACCCGCTCTATTGCGTATAATGTATTCTTCGCCTCGAGCCGTGCAACGAGTATCCTGGGGCCTGCATGATCTTGTTGTGTATCGGTCTCGTGTTCCAGGATGTCGATTTGGGCGGCGAAGAGGCTATTTGGGGTGAAGTTGTCATCGGTGGAAAGGTCGAGGAAGGTCAAAGGCAGCTGAGAACGCCCAATCACTCGCACGGGTCTGAATGTAACGGGCTTGTTGTTGTACGGAGATTCGGAATGAGCCCTGATCGTGAAGGGCTCGTTAAAGGTTCCCAGTCCGCAGAGAGAGTCTCTCATCTGCTTCGAGGGCAGTTGGGCCTTGGATTCGTCAAGTTTGGCAGCAAGTCGTAAAAGTTGAGTTGGCGTATCGGAGGCTGAGCGTAACATCGTCTTCGTTTGCAATGCGTACGTAGACATCGGAACTGCGCATGGCTGTCGGTGTTGTCTGATGTGAGTGTTGACGGCGCTTTCCCTAACAGACGCGTTTCGGCAGTCGCGAAATCACGAAGGGTCGTGCGTCCACTCCTTCCGCGCGACAACGTCATCCCCGCACCATCATCTCGATCGATCAGCCCGCGACTAGTGTCAGGGCGATCAAAGTGTCATCTCATCGGAATACTCTGTTTTAGGCTGTTGTCTGTTTGGACTAAGAATTGCTTGCGGATCATGAGCAAACAACTCGATCGCACCACCCTACCACACAGGGTAAGCTTTCGATATATGTTGCAATTGGATCATGATCCTCGGGCTTCCTCGTGTGTTCGCCACATGCAGCCTATATTACCTCCGAAACACCCCTCTTTATCATCAAGGGCTACATGGGCTTTACCATGTTTGTACTCGATCAGCAGCCAATAGACATGGGACTAATGCGGAGGTCGTGGATATCCTCTGGCCCCTCAAGAGACTCGTGTAGTAATCTTGGAAACATTTGAAATTACCATCAAAGCTCTTCATCTTTACTCACTTCACAAGACCACTTCTCATCCATAAATAACAAGGCTCGACGAACGGCGTTGCGATATAAGTTTACCGAGCACAATCTTATCAATTATCTTGCCGTCGGCGGAAGGGTTGCTTCTATATCCTCCAGAATGAGGTTCATTGTCCTTGGTATACTGGGGATTGTTCCTAAGTCATTGGGATCGAGCTACTTTGAGACATCATCAGATGGTTATCGCCCTTTCGACCCCGGATACACCATCGGCGCGTACCCCCAGGACTTTACACTTGTGGGATCATCTCTAGAACCTATTCACGATTCTCAAAAGCCTTCCACGGGCCTAGCTGTCGACTCCTCTCATAACCTCTACCTAACTTATCCTCGCAACTCTGGACAAACACCAAATAACGTGGTGCTTTGCACGTCTTACAATGACGAGGTACCATGGCCCAATGCAGACATGCAGAACTGTACTGTTGGTCAAGATCCCAGAACCTGCTTCATCAATGTCCAAAACATCGTTCTAGACAACCGGGGAAGGCTGTGGGTGGTGGATAGCGGGATTCCAGCCAACGCTAGCCCAGACACAAATGCGCTGTTTGGAGGCGCAAAACTGATGAGCTTCAACGAGACGACGGGAGAGCACCTCCGGACCTATGTGATTCCCCAAGATCTTTTGTCGCATAGGATGAATATGAACGATATGCGTGTCAACACGACTGCAGGTGGAAGAGACGGGTATGCTTTTGTTACAGATGCTAGCAAGAATAGCTCGTTATTGGCAGTGGATCTCGAAAATGGAAGTGCAGTACGCAGACTGTTCAACACGAGCGTTGTCCGGGCAGACGAGAACTATGTTGGGTCATATGGCGGCGAGCTCATATACACTTGGAACGGCACTCAAAAGAGTCATCTCACTACGGCCGCCGATGGCATCGCGTTGGGTAGGTGATGTTGAGCTAATGTACGCTCATATTGCTGACTATGTCATAGCATCTGGCAACTTCTACTGGGGCGTCCTGGCTTCCCGGCGCTTCTACTACATCTCTCAGGAGATTCTTGTCAACCAGAATCTCACAGACGAAGAGGTCCTTGCTGCCGTGCAAGACCCGGGTCAATGTGGTTCAGAACAAGCTGGCTTCACCGCTGACGACCGAGGCCGAGTGTATATCGCAGCGAGCGAACAGAACGCTATATACTATGTCGACACACTAGAAAGTGAAACCAATATGACAGTCAATGGTAACTTACCTGGGGGGTCCGGTCTTATCCCACCAGAGGACTACGTGGTGAAGACGTTGGTGAGGAACGCGATGATTCAACATGCCGATTCCATGGCCATCTTGGACGGTTGGCTGTACTTTAACACAAATCAGCTTACGTTGGGTCCTGGATTCCAATACAATAATACAGACAAGAGGAGAGGCCCATTCCGTAGCTTTAGATTATGGATCGGACGGGGACCAGCGGTGGCATAGTATTGTATGTCCGTACGAAGAAGCTTGTTTGCTGGGCTACCCTCTGGATCCAAAAACCTATCTTAAAGACACACATTGTTATTTCCTAAACAGAGTTGCAGCGCAGATTACTATGCAAGTCTTCAGGGTACATTCTATCCTACGAGGATACCATTCACGAAAAATAAGCTTCGAGGTATCTGGAAGGGTGGACTGGTATTGAGCTTCTTTTCATATTGCTTTGTGTCGAGAAACCTCTCAGTCGCATGAAAACAAAGCTTTGACTAGCTGCTTCTTGATGTTTTCTGCTTCGTATGTTGTAACGCCAATGAAGTCATTGAACACTAGAAGGACTCTAGCTATCGTGGTGCGCTTGTATCATCACGGCACAAGCACTATTGCCTCGTCGTTGGAGAGTCGTAAGGCAGAGAAGAAAATACCCATGGCATAGATTTTTGTATTCGGATACATCTGCAACAACATCGTGTGATTTTCTGGCTTGACACTAGGATGCCGTTGTACCCACGGGATTGTGAAAACAGACCCCTGTTTCCTTAACCCGCGATCCGCTATACCGGAAAACCTCTAGCGGCTTACCCCAGCTTCCACTTGTGTCATCGGCTGCGGTAACTGTCGGCTTTGGTACTTCACAATATCACACCTCGGCGGCAGTACATGAATATGTTTCTTTCACACAAAGAATCTGCAAACGTATTACGCCCACCATGAAGTCCTTCGCAAGCCGAGAAGCATCCCGCGTATTCTCACGATCAAACCTTGTCCATCGCGCGTCAATTACCGTACCGAGGAATGCAAACACTCGCATACAAGAGCAAAGAAGAGAGTTCCGGGGGACGAAACGACTATTGGTAGTTAAGCCGTACCTGCTGGCAGATATTGGAGAAGGTCAGTAGGCGAATGAGAGGTAGCGGCGGTGCAGGCTAATCATGCTGTGCATAGGTATCACCGAATGCCAGGTTATCCAATGGTTCGTACAGCCCGGCGCGCGCGTGGAGCAATTCGACCCAATCTGTGAGGTACAATCGGATAAAGCATCTGTCGAGGTATATGTTATTTGAGATACAAAGACGACGTTGGCTAATCGCAGCCAGATCACCTCGCGGTTCGATGGCGTTATCAAGAAGCTGTACTATGAAGCGGATGACATGGCTAAGGTTGGAAAGGTAAGCCTGCACTTGGAGGTTTTTGCAGATGACGAGCTGACAGTAGAAGCCTTTGGTAGACATCGACATTCAAAGCGAGATCTCCGCAGCCGACGAAGCCCTACTCAACGGAGGATCAGGCAAACAAGACGACGAGGTCCTGCTTACTGGGGGCGGAGGTACCAAAACAGACCAGGGTACGCGTGAGAATGCAAAGCCAAAAGAGCAGGAGATTGAGCTTGGGAGGAACGATACCAAAGCTGCGACTGGCGATCTGGCTCTCTCAGATCAAAGCACAACTCTACCATCCGAACCATCGACAACACAAAGACAACCGGGAAAACATGCATCGCTCGCCACGCCAGCAGTACGACATATGGTCAAAGAACACAAGCTCAAAATTGAGGACATAGAGGGTACAGGAAGGGAAGGCCGCGTACTTAAAGACGATGTACAACGGCATATCGAAGCAATGAAGCAGGCGACAACCATACCATCAACAAGTTCAATACCAGCGCCCGCTCCCACACAACAAATGGAGGATCAAGTCAAGCCATTGACTCCAGTTCAGTCTGGCATGTTCAAACAGATGACCAAATCCCTATCCATCCCTCACTTCCTGTACACCGATGCGATAGACTTCAGCTCACTGACGTCCCTGCGCAAAAAGTATAATGCAGGCCGTGAGAAGCCAGAGCGGATAACACCGCTACCGATCATCATCAAGGCTGTGTCGCTCACGCTTCAACGATTCCCGTTACTCAACTCGCACTTGGATACAACTACGAACCCGAACAAGCCACAGATTGTGCTCAAGGGAAGCCACAACATCGGTGTAGCAGTAGACTCGCCTGCTGGGCTACTCGTACCCGTCATCAAGAATGTACAAAACCACAGTATCGCCTCGCTAGCCCAGGAAATTCAACGCCTCAGCTTCCTGGCACGCGCTGGCAAGCTCTCATCTGCTGATCTCACTGGCGCAACGTTCACAGTCAGCAATATTGGTAGCATAGGCGGTGGCACTGTGGCACCTGTCATCGTGGGACCACAGGTTGGTATTTTAGGTATCGGGAAAGCGAGGGTAGTGCCAGCCTTTGGGCACAATGATGAGCTGATCAAGAGGGAGGAGTGTGTGTTTAGCTGGAGTGCTGATCATAGGGTTGTTGACGGAGCGTATGTTGCGAGGGCGGCAGAGGAGGTGAGGAAGTGCTTGGAGGGTGTTGAAGAGATGCTCGTTAGAATGCGATGAACGTTTCCAAAAAGCATAATTTTATCAAAAATGACAAAGATACAACATCCTACATGACATTGTATTACTTAGGCAGTCCTCAAGTGTATTAATTCTTGATATTTGATGTACTGTGATCAGCATGGAAGACGCAGGACAGCCATCCAACCTGCCCTTGAACTACGCATGGTCTTCTGCTAGCATCTATCCCATAGCAGCTCGAACAATGGTACTCGGTGCTCAGCAGTAATAGCAGAACTGCCAATATGTTCTTTCTAGCTCATAAAACTCCCTCGTATTCTCATGTTCGTTCATCCCCGATAACAAAGTACACGTAGCATGTTCAAGCAGCGCCCTTGAGCACCTGCTCGAGGCTGTTCTTGCTGTTCGTGTACGTCTTCTCTAGATAATCTTCCTTCTTATCCAAGTTGGACATCTCCTTGTTCAATGCCTCATTCTCACTCTCGAGTCTCTTCTGTACATCAGGAATAGGCGTACAGACAAACCTATTCATCACGAGTCAGTCTCTTCAGTGTATCTCTTGCCTCCCCCGCAATTGCGAGGCGAATAACTTACATCTTTCCAACACCCTCGTACACCTTGGTCTGCGCAGGCAATGACGAGACCTCTGACGAGGTAAGCTGAAGAATACGGCCCTCTCGTGTCCTGGCGGCTTTTTGTTGTTTGACGATGACGAGTTGTTGCTCAGCGAAGGCCTTCTTTTGACTGATCTCTTGCAGGACCTAGATTTTCGTTATCAGAACCCAGGCTCTTTCCTCGATTTCAATCATGCGCCATTATCACGCACCTTCTGCAGAGCCTCGTTTGACATGGACATGGTGGCGGGATTTCTCTCGAAAGCTGAAGATGCTCGCACGTCTCGTAAGAGTGGCCAGCTGCGCTGCGCTCTCAAGCTTTCTCGGTTCGGCAGTTGCGAGGGACCCTGAGAGGACGTGATTGGCTAGCAGATTCGCACCGAAAACAGAACCGCCGCTGCTGGCAAACCGTTCCCCCGCGTGTGCTAGACGTGTAGTTCAATAGTCGCAGTAACTGCACTGGGGCTGCCCTTTCGCAGGTGCACCCTTGGGGTGCGTGGCGCGGTAGGTGACAGCTGTGACAGCCTGTCGCTGAAGCATGGACCTTTCTTTGCGCTGATTGTCGCTCTCCAGTCTTTCCTTCCGCAAAGTCCGGAACTAGGTACAAGCTTGATATCGTGTTCGAACATCTGCAATTCCCTGTCTTCGTCTTGTTTCCCTTTCCGCTTTACAGTTTGAGTAGAGACAGAATGGCTGCGTTCCTTTCTCGCCTACCGTCGATACCGTATCCGCCCGAACAGGATGGATGGTTCTCTCCAGTCACATCTACCCTCGACTGGTGTGAAGAGGTTTGCTAGCAAAATCGCCCTATTGCGAAGGCAGCGGCTAACGCTGAGAAGAACTATGTAGTGACACAATACTCGGCAGAAATTATCAACACGCTCACGAATCTTCTGTTCATGTACCTGGCAGCCAAAGGTATACGCAACTGCTTAAAGAATGGACATGACACAGTTTTCCTCGTGGCATTCATTGGCTACTTGCTCGTTGGGACTGGAAGCTTCCTCTTTCACGCGACACTGAAATGTATGTTTGCCGCTGAACAAGTCTTCAACATGCAGTATCTGATGCGTCCTAGATCCCATGCAGCTTGTAGATGAGCTCTCGATGATCTACACAACGTGTTTGATGAATTTTGCAACATTTTCGTATGGAAAGTCACGGCTCTACTCTACTGTTCTTGCGGTTGGACTGGTGTCTCTCGCCGTCTTCATTACGCTATATTACCATTACCTCCAGGATCCAACCTTCCATCAAAACGCCTACGCGCTCCTCACAGCAATCGTGCTGTTTCGGGCCATGTATGTGATGGAGGTGAATATCCGCCCGCGCTTCCGGTCCAAGGAGAGGGAAGCTGCGAACCCGCGTCCGCATAGAGGTGTGAAGGCGGTTCAAGAAAGGGAAGACGTGAGGGACCAGGAGATTCTCAGTACCATGTGGAAGATGATTGCATTTGGTCTAAGCATCTTCTTGGGTGGTTTCGCAGTCTGGAGTCTCGATAACGAGTACTGCTCGAAGTTGATCCAGTGGAGGAGGGAGATTGGTATGCCCTGGGGCTTCGTACTGGAGGGTCATGGGTGGTGGTGAGTACTGCACGTATCCGCGAGATGACGAAAGCTTATCACATTAGGCATCTCATGACGGGAACCGGAGCCTACTACTACATCGTGTGGGGTGTATGGCTTCGACATTGCCTTAACTACAGGCAAGACGAGTATGAGCTGGACTGGCCCAACTTCTGGACGATGCCGCAGGTTATTAAGCGACAAGAAGCGTTGAATAGAGGTCATGTGAATGGCTCTACGAAGAAGGAACTGTAAGCGGTGACGGTGAATCATGTATGCTATGGGGTTTTATGCATGTGCTTGCAAGATCAGCGTTGTGCGGTATTCCGCTGCTTCGAGCATGCAGAGAGTAGAATTTTACAGGGGTTAGCCGTGATGGAAGGAACACCTGGGCAGCTGCCTTCAGTGGTAGCCATAGCACAAGACGAAGCAGCGAATACCACAGCATACCGCAAAGCAATAGAAGCATCTGATGGAAACACTCCATGCCAACATTTGTGCCATGCTAGTGCGGTATATCTCCATGACTAGCTCTTCATGTCGAACAGGCACCAGCTTTGGTCGCGCGCGTTGTTAGTAAATAGCCTTAGCGCCGACGGGCCCGTGCAGACGACCCACAGAGATCTTTAACGCACTCACCGCTTCTGCTCCTCTTGCTCTCCACACCAGCACCACCAGCACCGTCGACCAGCCATAACCCAGCTCGCCGCACTTTCTCCTCAGCACTTCCCATTAACCTCATCCCCCAACCGCCAACATGCGTGAGATTGTACGTATCGCCTGGAGTCAAACGTCCCTGTGGCGCGTCCTGCCCCGCGCCTAGATATCATTCAGGGACAAGCGCGAACAACAGAGAACAACAGCTAACAACTCTTCTGTGCAACAGGTTCACCTCCAGACCGGTCAATGCGTAAGCTCTTCTCTCCTCAAACATCCAGACGACAGCTAATAGTGTTTTCAGGGTAACCAAATCGGTGCTGCCTTTTGGCAGACCATCTCCGGCGAGCATGGCCTCGACGGCTCTGGTGTCTACAACGGCACTTCAGACCTCCAGTTGGAGCGCATGAACGTCTACTTCAACGAAGTACGTCACTCGATATTCCATACGGCAGATAAAAGGCCAATACTGATCTATAGCAGGCGTCCAACAACAAGTTCGTGCCCCGTGCCGTCCTCGTTGATCTCGAGCCCGGTACCATGGACGCCGTCCGCGCTGGTCCCTTCGGCCAGCTGTTCCGCCCTGACAACTTCGTCTTCGGCCAGTCTGGTGCTGGTAACAACTGGGCAAAGGGTCATTACACCGAGGGTGCCGAGCTGGTCGACCAGGTCCTCGATGTCGTGCGCCGCGAGGCCGAGGGCTGCGACTGCCTCCAGGGTTTCCAGATCACCCACTCCCTCGGAGGTGGTACTGGTGCCGGTATGGGTACGCTTCTCATCTCCAAGATCCGTGAGGAGTTCCCCGACCGCATGATGGCCACCTACTCCGTCGTGCCTTCCCCCAAGGTCTCCGACACCGTTGTCGAGCCCTACAACGCCACACTCTCCATCCACCAGCTGGTTGAGAACTCAGACGAGACCTTCTGCATTGACAACGAGGCTCTCTACGACATCTGCATGAGGACTCTCAAGCTGAACAACCCCTCCTACGGCGACCTGAACCACCTCGTTTCCGCCGTCATGTCGGGTGTCACTACCTGCCTGCGTTTCCCTGGTCAGCTCAACTCTGACCTGAGGAAGTTGGCCGTCAACATGGTTCCCTTCCCCCGTCTCCACTTCTTCATGGTCGGATTCGCTCCCCTCACCAGCCGCGGTGCCCACTCCTTCCGCGCCGTCACCGTTCCCGAGCTCACCCAGCAGATGTTCGACCCCAAGAACATGATGGCTGCTTCCGACTTCCGCAACGGTCGCTACCTGACCTGCTCTGCCTACTTCCGTGGTAAGGTCTCCATGAAGGAGGTCGAGGACCAGATGCGCAACGTCCAGAACAAGAACTCCTCATACTTCGTTGAGTGGATCCCCAATAACGTCCAGACCGCCCTCTGCTCCATCCCTCCCCGCGGCCTGAAGATGTCCTCTACCTTCGTCGGTAACTCCACCTCCATCCAGGAGCTGTTCAAGCGTGTCGGTGACCAGTTCACTGCCATGTTCAGGCGCAAGGCTTTCTTGCATTGGTACACTGGTGAGGGTATGGACGAGATGGAGTTCACTGAGGCTGAGTCCAACATGAACGACTTGGTTTCCGAGTACCAGCAATACCAGGAGGCTTCCGTCTCTGAGGGTGAGGACGAGTACGACGAGGAGGCTCCTCTTGAGGCTGAGGAATAAGCTGGTCACGGCCGTTGACCTGCTGGGCTTGGCTGTGGGAAACTTTCATGCGTGGACACAACGTTGTAATTCAATTCGTACTTTGAGCGATTCGGTCATGGCTTGACAAGCGTGACAAGCGACTCAACTTCTTGTTAGCGAAAAGATGCTATAATCAAATATTGTCCACAAACTTGGTGCATTTTGTTTGCCTGCTAATGGCTGTGTCTACTTCACTTGTCTTTCTCTCCGTGTTCTCTCAAATGTTCAAGGTACCCTACTAGTCGTTTCTTAATCACTACGCCCACCAGTCGTCCCGTTCCTTCCTCGGTGACCATCAGGTATCTCAATCCTAGCTTGGCAAACATCTCGACGGCATACTCCAAGGGCGCTTTCGCACAGATAGTCAGTGGCGTTCGGTCCACAAAGGGCGTTAGATCCATCTCCAAGCTTGTCGGACTTGTTGGATCGTCGATCTCCTGGCCCAATAATCTAACCTGGACATCCTCTTGGGTCGACACGAGCGCACTGGGGACGAGTTTCGTCAACCCAAATTCCAGCTCCGACTGTGAAATGTAACCCTGCAGCACTTCCACACCCTCACCACCGCTGTTCCTCTGCACAAGAACGAGACCCGCATCCATAAGCCCCCTCTCCCTCAGCGCATGTAGCTTTTCTTTGAGCAAGTCCAACGCTACTTTGTTGCTGGCAGGAACCAAGACAGTAATATCGGACATGGTGCGTTGAGGCGGAATAAGGGCCTCGACGCAAGCTTTGTGTTGCCGGACGATTGATAGAGCGACATCTGGGTCTAAGAAGGGGTGGGAAAGAAGTGTTTGAGCGAGATCATATACACCTTCTGTTGAGATGGCGTCTGCAGTCCATTTTGCGACTAGGATGGCGAGCATGGAGGGAACAGTATAGGAAAGTTGGCCGGTTAGTTCAAACATCTATCATAGTGTTAATAGAGGGCGGGAAGAGAAAGAGGGGGTAATGGGAACACTTACGATAACAGCAAGTGAAATCGTCATACGTGATACTCCAGCCAGAAATGCGGCAGCGCCAACCATGGCGAAGATACCTGGGCTTATCGAACCGATAGTTTGACCAACTAGCCGCCCGAAAAAAGCCCCAGCATCCAGCGCGGGGATGATGACGCCAGAGGGAACTTTAATGCCGAACGTTATGGTAGTTAGAACGAGTTTGGCAAGAGTACCGTACGTTAGCCAAGCCACAAACTTCCAATTCGTCTTTCCATCTCCCACTATATCAGTACTCTCATTCCGACAGACCCAAGACGCCCTTGAAGTGTCATCACCACAATCCACAAGCAGATTTTTGATGATGACATCCCCGGGTTCCCTTGTTAGTGGATTAGGGTACTGAAGAAGCGCAGTCGCAAACACGACCAATGCAACCTCTAGCACAGGATACCGTTTAATAAGCCCGAAGCTTCTAAACCACTTCGACCACAGGAAGTTGAACTTGCAGAAGAGACCACCAAAAACACCACCCGCTACGCCCAGCAACACGAAAACGAGGTAGTGAATAGCCTGATACTCAGTCCCGAAATTGGACTCAAAAAGAACTAATTTACCCGTTCCCGTAGGATTGAGTTCTTTGAGTACCATAGCCGCCGTAAGACTACATAAAAATGCTCTCCACAGCACCTTCCTTGGGAAATACGTCGATATTTCCTCGTAGGAGAAAAGCACTCCGCCAATCGGTGCGCCAAAGGCAACCGAAAGGCCAGAACTGCAGGCTGCACTGAGCAATTCTCGCATTTTACGTCCGTTGTCCCGGTATTTTGGAATCAACCGGCCGACTAAGTAACCCACACAGGTAGAGATGTGGACAAAGGGACCTTCTTTTCCTAGACACATACCGGTCGATACGGCAAAGATAGCGCCGAAGGCTTTGACGATGAGAACGCGGAGGGAGAGAAAGGATGGGATGGAAAAACCGGATAGGATTGTTTTTATTTCAGGGATGCCGGATCCGGAGGCCATGTACATAACTTTGCCGCTGGGAGCTGTTGTGGGGGTTACTGGGATATCGTTGTCATGGCCATTGGATTTTGTGGTCGAACCTGGCGTGTCTGAGGCAGATGGAAGTGCAGTCTTGGTCAACATAGTCGCGCCTGAACTGATGATACCGAAAACCAATGCCATAGCCACGTAGATGGCGAAACTAGACGCATAGTCGTCTGTCCATTCATGCCAATTCTCACATTCTTCAACATTACTGGTACGAAAAAGGGCCCTTGCTTTCCTCTGAGAACAGCAAGCTTCGCGGTTCCGGAATGCATGGCCAGAGCAATATCCGACTTTCCAGTCCGAAACAGTAGCCACGGCGATGTCGACAAGAAAAGCAACGCACGCAGTAAGTGTGCCGATGATAATGACAGCGATCCATCCTGAGCAAGCGTCGAAGAGAGCCAGAGCCTTGTAGCGGATACCGCGTCGGGATTGGATGTGACGAAAGCGGTACGAGTCTTTTACCTGTTTTTCACATCAGCATACTTCTGCGGTTTTGGTGAATGGAAGATGCCAGTACCAAATCGTGTAACCAGTCGATTGTAGTATAATCGTTGTATGGTAATCGTTCTCCAACCGTACTACCTGCTAACTGCTGTTCTTCCTTTGTTACAGTGGACGCGATGACCGATGAAGCCTCCTCATCTTGCGCGTGTTGGAGCTGTGATAATCGGCTCTGGTGGAGTAGAGGTGTACGCTCGTGTCCGTTCTCTTGATCAGATGCCATGTCTAGTCGTCCAGGACTGAGGTCAATGATGGTGGTTCAAGGCAGCATTATGTAGCGTACTCGAGGTACATATCGAAATCAACGTGGCTTGTCCAATGACGCATGTAAGCATATCTAGAACGCAAGCTTATCTACCGCGGAAAAAGATCTACTGGAGCATCCTGGGGAAGATGCTTGTGGGATGAGCAGATTGCTAGGCTTGGCTGGGGTGTGGAGAGATAAGGAAAGCACGCTAATTGATTGGTGCGCAATGTTACTTCTGGTGCAACCATGAGCATAGAGCAGTTCACAGGCGGACCCCAATACTTGCGATTTTTCCAAGGAAAGGAATTGGTACAATTGCGGAAGAAGCACTACAGTATCGCGAAGAACCTACATAAACATGTCTTCGTATGGATGTGTCACCATTCCCAGCCATGAATTGACCGCCTTCAACCAGAAGAACGCAAAGTGAAGTCCAATATCCAGACTGGACAAACACGGTATCATTGAGACTTGTATCATGACTAACAAAGGGAATCGGTATGGCTCCAGGTGAACAAGTGAAAGAGAAGATTGCACCATTACACTTAGGTTGAAGGTAGTCATCGCCAGCGTAATGTTGAAACAGCTTTATGCAGCTGCAGCAGCATCATCCCTCCGAGCTACCCACTCATCCTGGTATTTCTGTACAGATTAGTGCGCATCTTGGGCGTGTGATGCTTGATACATACCTGCTTCTCGGCAGCGCTCAGACTCTTCCACTCATTAGCAGCGAGTTTGATGGCCTCCGTCGAAGGGATGTTCTTGTAGTCTCCACTGGCATGCCTGGCTCGCACAAAGGCTGGGAAGGGAGACACCGCCTTCTTGGTTTGGCGGTCGTCCACAAGTTTCTTAGCATATGGAGGGGTATGCTTACGCTTGTCCGCAAGCAACTTCCGTAGCTGGCTACGAGCGTTGTTTGCAATCTTTATCTGTTCGGGAGTGTAGGAATGGATAAATGCCTGATACTCGGCTTGTCTGGCAGCGTTCTGTTGGTTGGCAATGTGGTTCCAGTGCTGCAACGACTTAGCACATGGGCGTCTCAACGTGAAGGCAGATTAGAATTACCTCAAGCTCAGCAGGAGTCAAGTTCCTGAACGCCTCGATAGTTTCGGTAAAGCTGGAATTTGAAGCGCGCGTTTCAGAGACAAAGGCATTTATAGCCGTATACGCGCGGGGCCTTACAGGCTCCTTGAGTGCCTTGACGCGCAGTTGGCGGATCTTGGCCTGTAGTTTCTCTTCATCCGTCAAAGGTTTCTTGACGCGCTTCTTGGGCGTTGCTTTCTTGGCAGCCGGCTTCTTCGCTGTTTTGCTTGCCGCAGTCTTGGTCGCCGTAGCCTTCTTGGGGGCTGCCTTCTTTGCGGCCGTGGCAGTCTTCTTAGGCGCCGGCTTCTTAGCTGCCGCAGTCTTGACGGCCTTCTTCACTGTCTCGGTCGGCTCGGTAGCGCGCGTAGTTGTAGCATAGGACCGGCGGGCACGGACAAGGGATGCGAAGGCGCGTGAGAGAGGGCGGGCATGCGGGACTCGAGCGGCATTGTGGGCGAGGAGAGAGCGGCGGAGGAAGCGGGCAAGCTGCGGCATGTCGTGTGGGGACGTCCTGGGAGCGTCAGCTGCCAGGCGGCAGAGTGCGCCGGCCAGCATCGTGAGAATTCGTCGGTCGTGTCTTGGAGGCGCGTGGCGGTGAAGTCAACGAGCGGCGGCGCAGCTCTGAGCGGGCAATTGAGGGGGCTCGGGAGGTGCGCGCACTGTGTTGATGAGTCGGTGTAACGAGAGGCTGGGAGCTAGCCAAGAACGTCATCCAAGTAGAGAGTAGTCAGGCACGCGCTGCATTGATCCTCTACCCCACCATTGCAGAGTCACTGCCGCAGCATCACCATTGCCAAGTCATTTCCCGACCAACGTCACGTCTCAATATCTATATACATTCCCCGCTTGCTGAGCCTATCTACCTCGTCTACAGAGCGTCTTGCAACCATGTCGACCATGTGCTTTTCATATCACCTTGTAACTGTTTCGTCGTGTTAGCGGGACATTTGTCTAATGAGTGGGAAGCTCATACCTCCATGGATGGTCCTCATCGCCGTACTGAATGGCCTCCATCCAATCCTTCATCTGTTGTGCCACAGGGCCGGCTTCGACGTGGTCTTCAAGTCCGCAGTCGACAAGCTGTCCCTTCCAGCTAATCTTTCGCACCGGTGCGACAATGGCAGCGGTACCTGCACCAAAGATCTCCATCATGCGTCCCTCGTTGGCAGCGTCGGCCACCTCCTTCATGGTGAACTTGCGCTCCGTTACGGTCCAACCCTTTGGCACCAATCGCTCGCGCGCAAGTTCGAGGATCGAATCTCGCGTCACTCCCTCAAGAATCGTTCCGTCAAGAGGTGCAGTGAGCAACTCTGGCTTTCCCGTCTCCTTGTTCTTGATAGCTGCGAACAAGTTCATCGTGCCCACCTCTGTAATGTACTCTTCTTCGCCAAACAACCACAGGTTCTGATGGAAACCACGGCTCGCAGCCTGCATCTGCGGGACAATGCAAGGCGCGTAGTTGGCACCGAGTTTCTTGTCTCCAACACCTCCAGGCCATGCACGCACAGCGTAGTCTGTAGCCTCGAGCGAGATGGCCTTGAAACCGGTAGGGTAGTACGGGCCGACAGGCGAAGCGATTACGTAGAGTAGTGCAGAAGCGGGAGGACCTACGCCCAGAGTACGCTGTGTACCGATCATGGTTGGGCGAAGGTAGAGAGAGTAGCCTCGTGCACTGCTATGGTTAGAAGGACGCGTTGGTCACAAGACTCGGAACTGAACATACTCGGGAACAAAGCGCTCGTCCTCTTTGACGAACTTGCCAATGAGCTCGATCAGAGCATCAGGGTCGAATGTAGGCAATGCAATTCGTGCCGATGACTTGTTCAACCTAGCCATGTTCTTGTCCGGCCTGAACAACCTAATGTTGCCGCTCTTGTCCTTGTAGGCCTTCATGCCCTCGAAGCACTCGAATGCATAGTGGAAGACGCATGTCGCAGGGTCGAGACTGAGGTTCTGGTAGGGTGTGATGCGTGCCGGTAGCCATCCTTGTGTTGCTGTCCATTCAAGGGAGAGCATATGATCTTGCATGCAGGTTAGATATGAGTCGTGGTGCCATTGGAGCTATTACCAGAGAAGTTGCGACCAAAGACAAGTTCCTCATGCGGCAGGAGGTCTTTTGGTGTGGTCGTCTTGGTGATGGAGAGCTTGGTAGGGTCGATGTCCTGTATCTTCTCGCCAACAGAGACATCAGCATGAATGCTGTATGGCCGCTGGGTCCGACATCGCAGCGACGCGCTGAGCGGTGCTACAGGCGAACGGAAGGCGCCACGGGCCAAGGACGAGAGCAATCGTGAAGACCGCTGCTGAAGCATTGTGAGGTATGCAGTGCAAGCGGAGAGAGTGGGGCGGGAAGGAGAGTTGGTGCAGGTGGTGGATTCGAGGTCGACAATTATTTTGTACTACAAGACCGAAGCTGACCGCGCCCTGTAGATATCGGACCTCGAGACACAGTCACCAACAGTCACCTCCGATCGCGCCCCTGCACCAGCCACCAGACGGGCCGCCGAAGGGCGCAATTGGCACCTTGGTAATCTCCAATGCGGATATTTGAGGTTATTCACGTGCTCGGTATCCTGTCTGGCGCCGGTGGCCGCATTCACACTGCCTGCGCTGCGCTCACGTCATGCAAGGCGGGAGACTAGAGGCGGCCCTGACCATCCTTCTCCACAGCTCGCGTGGGGTTCCCAACACTTGGCCTTGTCTACCAATTGCCTCTTAGGTATTCGCCGTCGCCAATGAGCCTGGAAATTGTGCGACTCTTCTGTGGCTGTCGCAAGTCGTCTCGTGGAAAGAGGAACCATGTCTGATGTGTCTTGATTTCCTCGGCGGCCCCAGCTATCTGTCTCAGATCTCACGCGAATACCAACACTTCTCACATCGACATCACAGTCCATGACGCCCTCGCTTCACACCCACGAAATCGCCGCGCGCGCGAATAGACCACCAGCAACATGTTTTCCAACGCCCTAAAGTCCTTCACTTCCAACATCTCGAGCAACTACACCCTCAGCCCGCAACCCACGTCCCATTCTGGACCATGGAAGATATACGACGCAAAGAAGAAGTCGACCGGCAAGGCGGCATCTGTCTTTGTGTTCGAGAAGAAGTCACTGGAACCACCAGCTGGCGCAGGCTTCGGTGGGCGCTCAGCAGCTTCAGGACTCAAGCGCGCGCATGACGAGGTCGTCGAAAGACTCAAAAAAGAGGCCAGTTCTCTAGCTCGGTTACGCCATCCCAACGTGTTAGAACTGGCTGAACCTGTCGAAGAAACTCGTGGTGGTGGCCTTATGTTCGCGACAGAGCCCGTCACGGCATCCCTGGCTGGTTTGCTACAAGAAAAAGATGAGCAGGAGAAGGCTGGTGGTGTAAATGGACGTCGTAGCCGATATGTCATCGAAGAAGCCGATGGCCAGAAGCGGAGACGCGAACTTGAGATCGACGAGCTGGAGATACAGAAAGGCTTGTTACAAATCGCAAAGGGCTTGGAATTCCTGCACGAGAGCGCTGGATTGGTACATGCCAACTTGACTCCAGAAGCCATCTTCATCAATGCTAAAGTAGGCAGCCACAATACTAGCCATTCCCTACAAACACCTTGCTGATCGTTGTGATAGTCCGATTGGAAAATCTCAGGCCTGGGTTTTTCTACGCCTCCAGAGAACTCCACGAAACCCACATCCGTAACGCCCATCTCGCTCTCGGAAGTCCTGAACTACGACGCCCGCCTACCACGATACGTCCAGTTGAACATAGACTACTCTTCGCCCGATTTCGTCATGGATAACAATATAACCCCTGCTGCGGACATGTTCAGTCTAGGTATGCTGATAATTGCGCTATACAACTCGCCGCATAAGAGCCCGTTGGAGTTCAACGGAAGTTCTTCTTCATACAAGCGGGCGTTCTCCTCATCCTCCTCAGTTCCAAGCAAAACGAACAACTTCATGGCGTCACAACCATTGCCGCGAGATCTCGCAAACGGTGTCCTAGATCGCTTAATAACGCGGCGACCAGCGCAGCGACTGGACGTACGAGAATTCCAACAAGCAGCATACTTTGACAACATTCTAGTGTCCACAATCCGCTTTCTTGACTCGCTACCGGGGAAGACACCCAACGAGAAGTCACAGTTCATGCGTGGTCTACCGCGTATCCTGAATCAGTTTCCCAAATCTGTACTAGACAAGAAGATATTACCTGCTCTGCTTGAGGAGATGAAAGATCGGGAACTCCTCACTTTGATACTCCAGAATGTCTTCAAGATCGTTACTATGCTTCCATCCGGCAAACGAGCCTTCACCGAGAAAGTGATACCGAAGTTGCGAGAGATATTCCTGACTGCTGCAGCTACAAACACGAAAGCGCCGCAACAGGAGAGAGATAGCCTCAAGGAAGCGGGACTTATGGTACTTCTTGAGAACATGCAGATCGCTGCAGATAACTCCAGTGGCAAGGAGTTCAAAGATGACATACTCCCAATCATCAACTACGCTCTTGAATCTCCTACCCACTCGCTCGTCGATGCAGCTCTGCGTACGCTACCTGTTGTCTTGCCAATTCTAGACTTCTCGACTGTGAAGAACGAGCTCTTCCCTGTAATAGCTAGTATCTTTGCAAAGACCAGCAGCATGGGTATCAAAATTCGTGGTCTAGAAGCTTTCAAGACACTTTGTGGAGGAGGAAGTGAACAGCAAGACGACCAAGGTGATGGTCTTACCGGAATGGTAGCAGCACCCAAGGCCAAGAGCTCCAGTGTATCGATTCTCGACAAATATACCATCCAGGAGAAGATAGTACCGCTGCTTCGTGCTATCAAGACGAAAGAACCTGCCGTCATGGTACGTTCACGAGAAGGAACAAGTTACAGACGTCATGCTAATTATTGTACAGATGGCCGCACTGGATGTCTTCAAGGCCATCAGCACCCAAGTTGACAGTGACTTTCTTGCTATGGATGTACTTCCTATCTTGTGGAATTTCAGCTTGGGACCGCTACTTAACTTGCAGCAATTCCAAGCGTATATGAGCCTTATCAAGTCGACATCTGCCCGTGTCGAGAACGAGCAGACACGTAAGCTGCAAGAACTGGGCGCGAATGGCTCCACAGCTACCACACGTAATGAGTTCATGTCCTTCGGTGGCCCATCAGCAACCAATGGCTTCGACACCAGCAACGGAAACGGAGATACTGACTTCGAGGCCCTTGTACGTGGAGGACAACAAGGATCTTCTGGTGGCACAGATATGTTGGGTGGAGATCCATGGGCAAACGCTCCAGCATCCGCTACATCCTCTACGATCCTCCCCTCACGGCCATCTACCAACCGAACAGCATCCAGGACCGCATCGCCAGCAGCAACCTTCTCTTGGTCCACACCCCCCGTCTCTCCACCACCAACCAATAACCTCGGCGCCCCCAAACCGCAAAGCAGAGCCATAACACCGGACAACACGCTAAATACACTCAACTCTTCTTTCCCCGCTCTGAGCGCCGCAAACCCAGGTATCGGCAGTTCCTCCTTCACCCAGCCCCAACAACAAGTCCGACCAGCTATGAACATGAACAACATAATGTCTCCCACCTCTGCCACAACACCCTCATACAACAATACCACGCAAAGCTCGGGTATCGATTGGAGTAAAGCAGGTAACTCGTCAATGGCATCAAACAACTGGAGTAACATGGCCACTTCGAATACCAACACGAACAATTCTCTATCGAGCTTCCCTTCTATAGCTCCACCTTCCTCACAGTCACGGACGCAATCTCCTTATTCGTCCTTTAGTATTGCGCCTCCTCCTGCGAAACCGATGGGCACAGGAACTTTTACCATCGCACCGCCACCCATGGGAAGTCGAACATCGAGTTCGGGAATGGGTATGAATAGTATGGCAAATTTGAGGGCGCAGACGCAGACTCAGCAGCAGCAGCAGCAGCAGACAAATTGGGGAAGTGGAGGTGATAGCTTAATTTGAGAAGTTACAGCGGGTATTTTAATCTTAGCAGTGAAGTTATAGGGTATGAGAGAAATCACTGTCATATAACCATATTCCGCAGGACTCAGGGAATGGGGAAATATACGCCATTCATGTGGGTTGTTTCTACTACGAAACTGTTCGGAATGCATATCGAGCCTATTAGCACCACGTTTCGGGCCATCAGGGGTCTTTCTTCAAATCCTAATGTTATTTTGTGAATATTTTAGTGATTAGTATGTTGGATCATCTATGCAGAAGTCGTCAGTATCATGTCTTCCTGTCCGTGGGCAGTGGAACCACATTCAGCAAGATGCGCTTATCTAAGTGAAAAGGCCCGGCTATCTGTGATAAGAAGATACTACAGAACGGATGATGACGATAAGTTACTCCGCCAGCTTTTAGATCCTGTAGAGATAGATAGCTGTTGTCGGTTCATCGATCGGGTGATCGCTTTCGAAGGACTTTAGCACCTGTTGCGGAAGTGATAGGGTGATAGGTACTCTACGGCTGGTATAGTCCTTCGGTGTCTGTGCGTCTGTCGACGTTTGGCTCCCTTTCTTTACGCGGACGCTGCCATCCGGTGAATATTGGAGTGACACGCGAGCATCAATGCACACGAGACTGCTTTTTTCTGTCCGAATGCCAAGTGCAGGATCAGCAACGCGCATAAGCCATGCAGCGCCCAGAACTAATATGAGGACGATCACGCAATTTGGTGTGCACTTTTGCGTTTGCTGCTTCGGTGAATTGCCAGTCGCCTGGCGAATCGTGCAGCAAGATCTACGATTCTGCAACACGGGTATTTCGGAGTGCGATGATTGGGAAGCGCGGACATGGTTGGCTAGATAGCGGACCCGTACCCTGCAGGACAGACATCCCTACAACGTGGCCGACACCGTGGTTACTGCCGTTTTCCTGGCTAAATCGGATATATACCATGGAATTCCAAAGATGGTCCATACTTTGAACGCGACGCGCTGTTTGTGACTGGTTTAGATAAGCAAAGGACGCGAAGGATTCGACATTGGTGGCTAGACATTGGCGAGGCTTGGTGGTGGTAAATCGCCCACGGTATGTCGTAAGCTAAGCAAGCCAAGCCAAGCTTACCGGTGCTGGGAGGCCTTGATATGGAGCTTAGCAATTGAGCTTAGCGGGCGCCACAGTGACATCAAGCCTCGATGTCTGACTTGTGAGCCAGTACAACGGTGTGGCGGTAGGAAGTGGGTGTGACAGAAGCGCAGGAGTGCGGAAAGGTGACGCGCCATCGGTCTAGTTATCTAGAGTCGTTGAAGATTAACGTAATGGGTTTTCGATATGCGTATGCTGCGCATGGGTGAGAGTGAAAAGGTAGATCTGTGCCGTTGGCATGGTAGCGACAAAAGCGACCTCAGGCTTGCTAAAGCCTAGTCGACAATACGATTAATCCACAGAGAGCGGCTCTCGCGGCGTCAGGCCAGAGGATTTTACTGAGATTTCATAGCGCGAGAGCGGGAGAAGATGGGAGTGTCGCGGTCATAGCGCGCCGAACGGCTGGTGTTTGTGCGAGCCTTCATAGGTCGCGTTGAAGCCCGGTCGCGCCATAGGCAAGAACAGTCCCCACTCTTACGCCTTCCCTGCTCGCCTTCACCGAACCCTCTTCCAACCCCCGCAAGTTTGGGCCTAGCCATGCTAGCAGCGTACCCTAGCCTACGTCCTTCCACTGCAACACTCCCTGTACCCGCTATCACCTTGCCCCCGCAAATATATTTAACGATCTTCGCACCTGGCTCCTCCATCGTTTAGTCAACTCACTTCAACTTTACACCTCCCGGACATCGCACCCGCAATTAATGCTCCCGGAAGCGGCTATTCGTCGTCCTTTCTATTACACTCCCTACAAGAGGAGTATCCGTTGCTTAAAATGGCGTTGAAATCCATCTTCGGCGGCAAGGCTTCACCTACCGATGCCACCAGTCAAAACAGTAATGAGAAAGTCGCTTTGGAGAAAGAGAAGAGCTACGACGCCGAGGCAGCAGGAGGGATCCTACCTACTTCCGCCGACACCGACTCCGACGCCAGTATCACCATCGGCAGGCAGATCGAATTAGAAGCCAACAATGCTATCAAGTACCGCACTTGCAGCTGGCAAAAGACTGCGGCGCTGTTGTTCTCCGAGTACATCTGTCTAGCCATCATGTCCTTCCCATGGTCCTACTCCATTCTTGGCCTCGTCCCGGGCTTGATCTTGACTTTTGTCATCGCCGGTCTCGTCCTATACACGTCCTTGACTACATGGTAGGTCTTGTCAATAGTAAAACTTTAGTTACCCATGCTAACTGATCAGGGAATTCTGCATGCGCCACCCCCAGATTCGCGATGTATGTGACATCGGCCAGATGCTCTTCTGGAACCAGAAATGGGCCTTCTACGCAACAGCAGTCATGTTTGTCCTCAATAGTAAGCCACAGCTTCTTTGCAAAAACCTCCAGCCTAGTACTGATTCTTCCTCAAGACGTTTTCATCATGGGTCTGCACTGTCTCGTTGGCGCCAAGTGGTGGAATACCATCACCGGACACGCTACTTGCACCATTGTATTCGCCGCCATAACTGCCATCATCTCGTTCGTGGCTTCCCTCCCACGAACCTTTAGCACCCTGGCTACTCTAGCGACTGCCTCCGCCGCCTTCACTTTCATCTCCGTTATCCTTGCAGCAGCATTCTCCGGTGTCGACGGCAAACCTGCAGGCTACCCAAGCCTGGGCGAACTCGAGGTTTACGCCGTACCCCCAGCTGGAACCACTTTCGTGATGGGCATGAGCGCCTTTATGAACATCAGCTACACCTTCATTGGTCAGATTACCCTTCCCAGCTTTATTGCCGAGATGAAGGAACCAAGAGATTTCCCAAAGGCACTCTGGGCTGTCACCATTTGCGAGGTCATCATCTTCAGTTTGGTCGGAGGCGTTGTATACGGTTACACTGGTACCAACTACATGACCTCCCCGGCCTTTGGCTCCATCTCCAACGAAGTGTACAAGAAGGTGGCTTTCACCTTCATGGTACCCACAATCATCTTCCTTGGTGTTCTGTACGCCTCAGTAACAGCTCGCTTTGTCTTGTTCCGCATTTACGGTTCTCAGTCCCGACACAGGACCGGCCACACCGTGGCTGGCTGGGTCACATGGATCGTAATTCTTGCTGTACTATGGGTTTTCGCCTTCATCATCGCCGAAGTCATTCCCTTCTTCTCCGACCTTCTCTCACTCATGAGCTCCCTGTTCGACTCGTTCTTTGGATTCATCTTCTGGGGCGTGGCGTACATTCGACTTCGCAGGGAGAGGTATGGTGTAGATTTCTGGAAGACGCGTGGACTCCGTGGATATGCTGGGTTCTTCTTCAACATCATACTTTGCTTTATTGGTCTGTTGTTCTTGACCGCGGGCACGTACGCAACTGTCCAGTCGATCATTGACGGCTACAAGGCCGATGGCTTTGGTGGACCTTTCACATGCGCCGACAACGGCTTGTAGAAGTTGAATATGTTGGACATGACACGATCAGTATAATTTCGAACGATGTTGGCATTCCGATCAGGGCGCAATTCTGTCAAGGATACGAAACACAGGCCCGGAAATGCACGGTAGGACGGGAGGCGTTTTTGTTTTCTTGGATTTCTCGTTATAACGAGGCTTGGTATACCCCGCAGTAAAGGCTGCAGAAGTGGAACACATCGTAGTAGAGATGGAAACTACAACATCCTTCTTGAATAAAAGTTCAACCGATACAATAATACATCATAACAAGTTGACAGCTTAATGCGCTCGGTAGGCGTTCGTCCGTGACGCGCCCCTTGCGCGATTCTTGAACATGTGGAGCTTATGACGTCTCGCTAACGGCGCAACTGCCGAATGCACATGCTTGACACCTGGGCAAGCTGTCCACATCCCCCACACCTTCTGTATCGTGGATTCAAAGCTTCACCTACCTGTGTGTTCTTGCGTTTGAAGACTCGCAACTCGTCTGGACTTGCTCTTGACCATGGCTTCTTACATCGACTTCAGTCAGCCCAGTTTGTGGGGTGAGTACCACCACCCAGATCCCCGCTGTTTGCGGATGCGACGACTAACGTGATGACAGTATCTGCTGCAAGCATTGTATTCAACCCTACTTTCTGGAAGTGAGTCACATTGCTCATGAGTTTATACAGCCATTAACAGAAGTATAGCATCGCTGCGCAGCAAGGTACGCACTCTCGTCGTGGCGTTGGGAGACCAGCAGCCACTTTCCAAGGCTCGGCTATAGTCGCAATAGCAGGATTCGGGGAAGCTGACAAGACTTAGAATACCATAACAAGGTCATTACCAAGCTGTTTGGGGGTAACTCTCGACTTGGGTGCTATGCGCTTGCCGTAACCATTTTCTCACTGGGTATCTTTCGAGACTACCTGTACGTGCAAGCTACCACTACTATCTCGAGACGTCAACGTCTATCCGGCCTAGACTCTGACAATGTCTCTACAGTTACAATGAAGCTCTCGCCGATCAGCCCACCCATCCGACTCTCCTCTCCCCTGCTATCAAATACTCCGCGATCCCTCTGTTCCTAACAGGGAACACCCTCGTCCTGACCTCGATGTGGGCTCTTGGTGTCACTGGCACCTACCTTGGTGACTACTTCGGCATCCTCATGGACGAGCCTGTGACGACATTCCCATTTAACGTCTCGGGTTCGCCCATGTATCACGGCTCTGCCATGTCTTTCCTGGCCACGGCTATTTGGTACGGAAAACCAGCTGGTATACTTCTTACTGCACTGGTCCACACTGCATACTCTATTGCGTGCAGGTGGGAGGATCCATTCACTGGTATGATCTACCAGAAGAGAGACGAGGAGAGGAAGAAGGGCAAGAAGGGTCTGTAGATGACTCGTCTCTACGTTGGCCAGCACGATACAAGATAATAATGTTGGGCAAACGAGCCTGCGACATGGCTCTTGTGATCAATCACACAATAGCGCATTCAATCTCCATGTCCGCACACGTATGGGTTGTGGGGGGAGAACGAGGCGGAGCAGCACGTCTTTTCAACACGACAGTGGAGCAGAGGCGGTAGGTTTGTTTAGGAGGGGTATTCAACTGCCAGCTGGCAGAGGGGTTTATGTAGCAGCATCCAAAAGTACAGTCGATTTGACATGATATGACAATAGCCCAAAGCGACAATACCCCAAGCGACTTCTACTTTCTTCTTTTATTGGTAGGTACAGTATCTCCTTCGAACAGGCTGTCTTTAGACTACTTTCTCCGATCAGCTTTGCTACAAGGTATCGCTAACTACACAATTCCGTGTGATATTCGAATTGATACACGCAGGTTGCAAGCCAACTACTGTGCCGCAAGGCTCTTCTTTGCAAGCTAGACGGAGCAGAATAAATGAGGCAGCTACCCATGATCATAATCATTGTATAATCGAACATTAATTTCCCATTTTCTCTGAGTGGTATAGTTCTGAAATGTGTGCAAAGTCGCCAACCTGGTATACAACATCGATATCCGCTCTTTTCCCATCTAAAATGGGTATCCGTCCCAACGCCATGCTTCCTAATACATTATATAGTATCAAAAGTAGAAAAGATCAAACATCCTGCGTCGTGGCATGATATGTCTGCGCAGTACCACTCCTCGAGTGCATTGCGCTGGGTGGGTTACCAGCATGCGGTGCGCCATTGCGATTCAGCACACTCAGTTCACTCTCATCCACACCGTTGGCATGGGCATTGAACTGGCCGTCCGCTCGCCTCCGAAGCGCTGTCTCACTATCTCCTTTCCTGCTCCATCCCTCAGTTCCGACATAACTTCCTCTACCAACACCAATGCCCCACGCACGGTCGTAGCTCCTCGGACCCCAGGCCCATCCCGCGCCCCGTGTGATGGGGAGATGGTACCAGCGAAAGGAAAACCACGCGCACGTTACGCCAATCAGCGTACCGAACAGCAGATCAAAACCGAAGTGACGGAAATCGGTGAAGCGCGTGCTTGTTATGTATATGGCGGCGCAGATGGGTACCAAGACAAGCACGAGGGTGTAAACGGGGGGTGCAGCGTTTTGGTAGCGAATAGGTACTACAGTGTCGTCGTTGTAGGAGGTAGGGTTCGAGAGAGTTGAGTCTTGCTTGTGGATAGGGAGTGTGGCTAGCCTCTTGAGGTTGGATGGGGAGACGGCTGAGGTGTGAGCGGGGTTTGCGGAGTAGGGTCGTGGAGGAAGGAAGGGGATTGCGACGGAGAACTTGGAGGCGAGGAAGAGAGTGAGGTAGAGGAGTCCGGCCCATGAGACTAGAAAAGTGTATTAGTATGTAATTAGAGAGTGTAGAGGGTATGGCTTACAGCTGGCATGTCCACTGGGGAAGGATTTGAAGCCGTCCTTGAGTATGTCCGAATCTGGTTGTGTACAGATGTCGGCGGTGACGAGCACCCATTGCGGTTGATAAAACTCTCCCAGAGGGCTGATGGTGGTCGTTCCGATACGCGTGAGATCTGGCTGACATCGCGACAGCAGATCAGGTCGCGGCTTTCCAAAAAGATTCTTCATGCCCTGCGTGATGAGGAATGCCGTCGCAAGGGAAAGCGCGAGGCCCATCCAGCCAGTGTTCCATTCCCAGAGCTTCCTCCTCCAAATAAACGATTTTGGTGTCCCACGTTCAGCCGTGGGTCCGGGGACCCAGATGAGACACACGATGAAAACAATGGCGGCAGGCGCGATGAGCGATACAACGACGAGGAGCCATGTTGGTATCATCTCGCTGGTCTGGTACGGGTACGATATGTCGAGATTGACAGGCGAGAAGGGTCGTTTGAATGGTTCGACATATTCCCAACCACCGGCAATGGCTGCGATGGCGATGATGACAATCCAGTCGAAGATGTAGGATGCGACGAGCTTCACCGACGGCACGCCGACTCCTTTGACGGACCTCATGTTTGCGAGAGTGTATGTCTGATGACGACAGTGAGAGGAAGAATGCAAGTCAAGTCGAGGGCAGGGCGCCAAACGTCCCAGAATGCTCAATGGGACAAGCGCATTAAAGGCAGCTAGAGACAGCCAAGAGAAACGCGAAAGTTTGGTGTCGTGTGACGCAGTGTAACAGTATTATAAAGATGGGCTATGCTGCGGTCGGTGTTGACGTGTATGATGGCAATATTCCTGACTAGTGGAACAGAAGAAGAAAGAAGGCGGGCTAGATGATGGAGAGGCTACGAGGCAGGAACGAGTGGACAGCAAAAGGGTGAAGGGGCACGCGAGCGTAGCCAAGGCCCGAGCTGACGGTTTGAGGCTGTGTGTGATGGACGCTGGGCGTTGGTCTTGATCGTCTCAGCTGGCGCCCAGAGCGCCCGAACATACTTCCTTATTGCATCGGCCTGACTTCGGGATGCCGGGGCGTACAGCACATCAGGCCTACTATATGCGCAGCCATGTAGAGCAGCCATGACCAAGGAAGACAGGCGGCGTCGCTAAGGGGGGAAGGGTAGAGATGGGTGTGTATACAAATGCACGATGATGTGTGTCAAGAAGATCCGGGGCCGGGGCGCTCGCAGTCCCGGCGCCACTGGGAAAGTGGGAAAGTCTCCGCCTTCTCCGCCCACGTCATTTTTAGATTTGCAGCGAAGATCGAGAAAGAGTTGCGCGTACACAGATGCGCAGCACACCAGATCGATAATCACGCCCAGAATATCGCCAGCAGACGCCCGCGCACTCCCGATCAGCCTCACGCCGCAGCCCACCATGGCGCTTCCAGCACCAACCATCGATCTCCTCCTGAACCTCATTGACACGCGCCCGCAGTCCATTCTCTCTTCGCTCGAGCAGCATCCTCATCTTGCCTCTGCGCGCGATGCCCATGGCTACTCGCTAGTCCACGCCGCAGCCTCGTACAACCAACTCGCCGTCCTGCGCGACCTGGTCCAGAAATACAACGCCGACGTCAACATTCTCGATGAAGACGGCGAGACGCCCCTCTTCGCATGTGAAAAGGCAGAGGTAGCAAAATGTCTGGTTGAGGAACTCGGCGCAGACACCAGCATAAAGAACCAAGAGGGCCAGACAGCCGAGGACAAGTTCTTGGAAGAGGAAGACGCCACACATGAAGTATACCAATATCTGACGAGTTTGCGCACCGGTCATGAGCCCGCTGCTGCAGGCGTCATAGAGACCGAGGGCGTACATCCACCGCCTCCGCTGCCCGACGGTGTCAAGGTCAACGTAGGTACTATGGAAGAAGACGCTGTCGATGCACCGGATCCCGAGATACGGCGACGTATTGAAGAGCTTGCGGCAAGGCCTGACTACGATTCCGAAGAGGTACAGCAGCAATTGAGGGAGCTGGTGCAGGACGTTGTTGGGGGCATGGGTGCTGCTGATAGCGGGAGGAGTGTCAGGCCGAGAGTAGATTGAACAGGCATCAAGAACCGCACATATGGTCGAGCCGTTGGATCAGCGTTGACATTGCAGCATCGCACGTAAGATCGTCGTACACGAGATGAAATACTCCGAGTCGACTCCGACACTTCGGATCCGAGTCGCCTTGAAGGCGCCTCAGCAGACACGCTGGACGTATGCGCTCGCGAGCTGGCATGCTAGCAGCTAGCATGATTTTTCATGGCATGGTACACTTTGATGGTGATGGTATCTCAAGGTAGACAAGGAAGGTACTAGTACCCAAACAGCTTCTCATGCATGATCCACGAATGTAGGTTGTCTCATGGAGCCGAACAATACATCTCTTCAATCTTGTCTTCTTTCCCCTCCTTCTCTTACACATCCAATCACAATATTTGAAACCTTGATTACAAAATGTTGTCACCTGGCTAAACCACTAACTTCCAATTCGCCATCGATTGTAGAAGAAAAGCAGATTTTGTCGCCTTACGTGTCTTTTCCTTCCACCGGTTCGGCCAAATACTTGTACCTTGGTACTTAGGTGCGATTCCCCAATCCGTCTGTGTTAGGCAATGTTGCCTTTATGCGTAGATTGCAGCCGGCGAGATCGGCGATTTTGGCATCATGGGCAATACTATGTGATTTGATATCGACACAAATCTACTGGAAAGTGTGTCGCAAAACATGGATTCACGCGCGTATAGTTCAATGGCTATTCAATAGGGGCGTTTATCACGGCAATACCCTTATCCAGGCCCCCAAACATTCCGCATCAGGTACAAGCATCACCCATCCATCACATTCCTATCACCATCGCAAAACGTCATAACAGCCCCGAGCTGGCCCCATTCATTACTCCAACAGGAAACAAAAGTCGAAAACCATAGATTCCAGTCGCTCTTCTTCGGACTTATTATTCTGATCCATCTCCCAAAACATTCGTCATTTCCGTTTTATTCCCACTTAAAACCCTGGAATACTATGTGGCGTTTGCCCGGATCGGCATCGGCAAGGTATCGGCAGAGACACCCACCCTGCGTCGGGTCATCTACCCGAACACCACCCTTCATTCAATCTTACCCTTGTTTCACGCCTTGGCCTCGCCACAATCACGCATTTTCACGCCCCCGTTCGTGCTGCAATGGGAAGGAAACGGTGAAAAGTGTTGATTCTAGTCGGTCAAATGCGGTGCTTCTCGGGCGCATTGCGTGAATCCTTCGGTGACTTGGGGTGGTGATGGTTGGATGGGAGAATGGATATGAGGGGGCAAATAGGCAAGGGAGTGGATTGTAGTCACAAACTCTGCATGAAGAGACTTTGTGAAGAGCAGGAGATGTAGGAGGGAGAGGTGAGATATCATTGTTTTCTATTTGCTGCTTTCTTTTGGTAGAGAAAGGTAAGATGAGAATATGGGTTCACCATACTCGCGTTGACCCTTTTCCCTCTTTCTGTTGGAAACCACACTCTTGTCTTCCAGTACCTCACTCCACACTTCCATACCAAGATCTCGATGTCTATACTGTCGGCCCTTCTCTGTAATCTACACCCTCCTACCATTTCCCTATTCAGGAAACTTTCCAGTCCATCTCGACGCAAGAGTCTAGACTCGCATACCCCTAACCACCAAACTCCGTTCTCTATGTGCCGCAAACTCCGGACCACAGCATGAACAATATCCTGTAAACGGAAACTTCCATCACCCCACTGTAGAAACCAGGCTCCTTATCGCACTTAGCCGCACCTTAGAGTTTCGCCTGCCTCCGCGGAACCAGACTGGGCCCAGACACGCGGCCACCTACTGAACCGGGCAAACTCTCCCCTCTGTATCACCTTATTAGGAAGGAGAAGAAAGTCGTTGATTGTGGCCAAGATCGCGGGCCGCGACGGGTATGCAAGGGGTCCGGGTTACTGAAGCAAGTTTTGGTAAGTGTTGCTGGGGTACCGTACTAATTCCTATACGGCGGGGATGATGGAACCTGAAGTGCTATGGAAGATACCTAGAGGAGAAGGTTTGAGGGGAAGATGTTGGTTATAGCGGCCAAGGTGGCCGTACGACTTTTGTGTGGAGCTGTTTTTTTCTAGGGCATACTTTGGGTCAAAGAGGGGAAGTGGGTGATATTTCCATGGTAGTTATATCTGGTCTCCCCAAGACCATTTTCACACAGCACCAGTGACTCGCAACGTAGGTACCGGGAATCTTGATTTGATCTGAACGTGGTCGCATTTGTTCTGACTAACCAGTAACGGGTCGTATATTGATGTCCCTACCGTCTATGTATCCATCCGTTTATTCACAAGTTATTCACCTCTACCTCTAACACTGCACACCAAACTTACGCAAGGTCTCTTTTCCAGTGGTGATCTTCATACCAATTCTGAAAACACATGTTAGCCTTGAACTGCAAAGAGAAGAAAATCATCACGTACCTTGCATCCAAGTCGAACCCACCCATCTTTGTAACCTCATCGAGCCAATCCTTACACTGAACCAACATCTGAGGGTTCTTCTCCGGATGCCCATCAGCGTCAGCCTCGCGCCAGATGTTTGCAGCCATCTCATAGCGTGCACAAGGCGCTGTCCAGTTGTCCTTGAAATTGCCTGTGAGAAGGGCTTTATCAACTGGTAAAACCTCTTTCTCCAAGATATTCTTGGCTTCGATTGTCTGATCCATGTTTCTAAGAGTAGCAGCGCGAAGGACGTTGAGGATAGACTTTTCGTCTACACCCTCCTTGTCCCAGTGTGGATTGGCGGCTGACTCGCTCCACGCCAGGTTGGCGAGGGAGACTTCGAGATGATCGTTTCGCATGCGTTTGTATCCGTTCCAGAAGTAGATCATCTCTTCGAGTGGTGATACACCTACGGCGTCTACCAGGTCGCAGTTCCACTCCTTCGCACGTGCCTCCCATTTCTGGATCTTACGGGCAACGAAGATGTCGAAAGGTAACTGACGTGCCATGAACTTCTTCTTTCCCACGTTTGGCATGACCTTCTTCATGTATTCTTCTGCTTTTGCACCGTACTCCTTTGCCTCAGTTGGATTGGTTGTCTTGTGTTTTCTGTAGAGCTCGACATATGAGGCGGCGATGATGTGGTAGTACAATGCGTGACTCCAGTTGTTGAGCCCAATGCATTTTACGAAAGCGAATGCAGTCGCTTTGTAGTCGTGCATGTACATGTTGTTCAAACTTTGTTCGAACCATCTAAGCGCTTCGAGCTGCTTTAGCTTCGACTCGCCCATGTCGTCCATGAACTTAACAGCCTTCTCCAACTCTTTCTCTGAAGCGAGCATTCGAGACTCCTCCAGTAGCCAAAGGTGACTTGTAGGGTATCTTGCGCGCATGTAGCGGAGCAAAGCTAGGCACTGTTCCTTGGGATATGCACCCTCACCCTTGGTAGGAAGTATGTCGCAGAAGTTTGTGAACCCATTTATGTATCCCATCAGCACAACACCAGCCATAGCACCGTGGATGTTGTGGAACTTAGTTGCTTGCCATAGCATGCGCATGCCCCTTTCGCGATCGCCCTTGAAGCCAACGATCTTCAACAACCCAGCAAAGGATGGCGGGATGAATGAGAGAATGAGTAATAGCATACCGAAGCAAAAGTTCGATCCAGAGAGGATGAAGACATCCACGGGGTGTTTACTGAACGACGCGATGTCTGCATCTGCATCACCTTGATCGTTCAAGGTGAGTTGCTCAAAGTATTCGATGGCGTCTGGTAGGGAATCTGATGGGTTCTCGTTCGTGACGGGAAGCCCTGGCGCCGAGCTTGCTCCGACGTCAACCGTCTTCTCAGCGTTGTTGAGCTCGACTGAAGCACCTTTATCGGCAGCTACATTGAGGTTCCCCTGGTACTCTGCAGGCGTTGAAACACTTGTCTTGTCCTCTGCAGCGTCCACGAAATCGAAATCGTCATCGTCATCATCTGTAGCCTTCTTCGCTGCTGGTCCAGTCACCGTGGTACTTTGCTTCAGACTAGAAGTTGACGCTGCAGCAGACGGCCCGGCCGAAGTAGCAGGCTGAGAGGTTTTGAGACCGCTGCCTGCCAAGTTTGACCGAACCGAGCCCTTGAAAGAGCCGCGCGACCCTACAGAATTGACACTACTTGTACTTCTCTGGCTCAAGAATTTCTTCTCATTCTCCATAACAGCCTCCAGTGCAAGGTACGCTTTCCTCAACTTGTAGAAACTCTTGATAGCTTCCGTCAAGCTTTCATTGAGCACACCGACAACGGCACTCATGAGCTGTGCCTCTGCCTGACATACCGCGTATTCGGTGCCTGGGGGATATATGGGTGATTTGTATGCATTCGGATCTTTGCTAACTTGGCGTTGACGTTCGTAAGCCGAGTTCTCTGCCAAAGATAAGGCGTTGGCAGCTGTAGACGGCATCAGTCAGTCGAGGTCTGTGATACTATGTTGAGTACGTGATCAGACCTTCGCGTACAATTTCTGGCTCAAAGCCCAACGTTGCCCGTATGAAAACACACACTCCCGACCCAAGCTACATGGTATGAGACTAGAACCGAAGTATATGCCCGTGGGCTGAATAATAGGTATGTACCTGGTGGAATGGCGAACTGCCTTTGTTGAGGTGTGCTTCGGCGCTTTCGATATCATCGGCCATGATATAGGTGACAGCTATGCTCGCGTGTGGTTAGTCCCATTCGCGTCACCGTATTGGGCTGTGTCGGAAGTCGTACCGCTCATGGCATCCTCGACTGTGTTGCATTAGTATTTGCCTGCCCTGTGTATGTCGCGAGACTCACTCTGTGCAAGTTCACTCAGAGAATCCAAGCTCTTTGTATGCCCAGGGGCATGGCCCTTGAGCCAACCGCCGACTTTGAACATGTTGTATAGATAATTCCCGCACGGCTGGGAGCTGGAGGTGGGGCAGAATTCACCAGAGAAACCAGATGAGGAAAAAAAGAGGGTGAAAAGAAGGATGAAAGGAGAAGAAGCAGTATATTCAAAAAGACTACGCAGAGCGGATACCCCAGCTAAGACGCTGAG